CTTTCCCTCACTCTAACTACCGCACTCTTTTTTTCTTTTTCTTTCTCTTTCTAAACAGGAAAAAAAACACCCTGCCAAAAAAGGACAAAATTGTTGTGCATCTTGAACTCATCGAAATCTTGTAGTCTCATAGCAACCCCGTCTACAATAAGGTATAAGAAATGCATCAAGTATGGGATATGTTTGTTGCAACAAATGGAATCCGTGCGCTCATAGCATGACAAGGGAAATTCATAAGTGATGTCCGCAAAATAGTAAATAATCTCCTTACACTCTTTTTTTATCAAAACAAAGAAAATGATATGTTACATCAAATTTTCATACAAGTACTCCATACAGTCTTTTTTTAAACCTTTCTTAGCGCAGAGGATTTCAAAAGACGGCAACATCATTTTACAACATTAACCATGCGCACTTTTTTTGACATGTTGATTAGGGCTGAGACTTCCAAAGGTGCCATCTATGTAAAAAAGACATCAGGAGGCTCCCAAATTTCATCACAATAAATTTTAAAAAAAACAATTACATTGAACCTATTGGTCCAAAAAAATAATTAAAATGAAAGTAAAAACAGAGAAATGAAAAAAATAAATGCTTTAGCTATTAAATGACTCATTTCAAAAGAACAAAATTAAACGCTCACATTAACGGGGCCTTTAAGGAAGGACATTTGCCTAATATCATAGAATGACGACTTAAGCATTGATCCTAAGAGATCATCATACACCAGCAAAAATTAATCCCTGCGCATGATCAAATTCCAACTAATAGAAGGCAGCACACAATTAAAGCTAAGTATAGAACCATAAAACATGAAGAAGTTGAATAAACGAACAAGATACTCAAATTAAAGATTGATGACAAGGAAACTTCTCTCACCATTAAGCCTTCCATTTCCAAAGAAAACTTACCAAGTTAGGAAACATATCATGTAGAGATTACGTATCTTAAAATCCTTCAAAAAAAAAAGCATAAGTAAAAGATTTTCAATGATGAAAATTTTCAAGAAAAAAGAAACAAATAACGATATGCATATCAAAATCATTAAGCTTATTTATTAACAAAAAAAGATGTTCAAACATTAAGCTTATACATTAACAAAAAGGAATTTCCATTACAAAATTCACTCTCATTAACATTTAGCTAATCCAAAACCCATACCCATTGCATATGCTTGAGGCTTTCCTAGCTTGAATTCAACCCTTTACATATTCCAACTTTTTTTATAACTCATTAAAATACATATTTTTTAACATGAAAATATTAAACAGGGGCTAACTTTACACAGTATCCTTCACTCCCAGGGTGATCAAACTAATTACAATGCAAAACAAATAAACATAACCTTAAGTGCTAAAAAATTTTACTTATCTTAATTAAAAAAGATACTAGAAATTAAACAAATTTCAATCACCACTCCAACAAATATTAGACAGAAAGTGCATGAGAAAAAAAAAGTAGGAAAATCACAATCAGATGGAAAAATATGTTTAAAAAAATGCTTATTTATTATACCCAATTTAAGTATGGAATTGAAATCATCACTTCGTGGAGTTTAGAATTGCATTGATTTCTAATTAAATTTAAACAGATGATGGAATCCAAAAAACTCATAATTTTCAAATGTGTTTTAAATTCAAGAAACCAAACAAGCCCTAACAGAAGTAGAAGTTAGTCATCCTCATCTAAAAAGCAATATCAGTTCTTGCTATCACGCCCAATGACGACAAAATTTCAACCCACTTGTGTATCTAGTTAAGATATTTCTCCCAAATGACTTTAAAAAAAACATTCTTCAAAACTTTTTCCCATCATCATCATCAGCCCCATTAACTCCTATTGAGTTCTACGAGAGGCATTAAATGAACTTTCAAATGCATTTTGCACTTTCTAGCTATTTTACCTTAATTTGTCTCTTCTCATAGTTAATACAGTATTATGCATTGTCCCTTCATCATTTTCCCTCTATAATACTTGCATAACCCACCTTAGTCTATTTTTTACAAGTATATCTTCAACACAAATGCTACTCTCACTGACACTGTCAATATATTTGTGCTTGCTCAACATAAGCATCAAAAATATGCAATTTAAGGAAGTATTCCAAAGTTGTAGCCACCAAACTAACAACTGTTAATCATGCATTGTAAATAAATAAAAATTTTCCTGGTACATTCACGGAAAAACCAACATTACCAAAATCAATGTTTGAACTACAAAACCCATTATTCCATCAAAATTTATGAAACTTAAAAAATTCTCAAGAAAATGTACCCATTGAGCTAAGGAATTAGAAGGGAAAATATCTCATTCAAAAAAAGCAATAGGAAATAGATGAACTGCTCTCAAAAACCATTTTAACAAAGTTTCAAATAGAACACCTTTTAGTGTACCAATGAAACTTCAATTTGGAAAGTAGCTATAAATTTCTCAATTCTTAACCCAATAACATCAAAACTTGATTACCCATTCGGTTTTAGTGAAGTCATTGAAACTGTATACATCAATTAATCACACATTAATCAAATTGCTATCTACTAAATACTAAGCATGACTACTTGCCAGGGAATAAATATTTAACGGCCAAGTAGGAGTGAGTACTCTTAATTGACTATCATATTATCTTCAACTAAACGCAAACTGATAAATTAATCTGATTAGCTCACTTATTTTCAATAACATATGAGAAATAGGTTTTAATTATAATTATAAAGTGTTGACTATAGATAAATTGTTTCATAAGTCATAAATAAATTTAATTATCAATTATTTATAGTTATAACGCACGAATAAAAATATAATAATTAATTGAATGGCAGTCCATTGCATCCTAAGCTACTAATCATATCAAATTGTTGTCTATGCCTAAGCAGGTGATGAACATAATTAATTAGTCACATATTACAATTTAAGAATTCATACTATATGACTAAACTTCATATATTAATTATATTCACCAGCAAAAAAAAATACAGAGATGGAGGATGCCGACAAAAAGTAAAAATGATAGCAAAATTCAGCTTAGGCATTATTAACTTAGGGGCTGTTGGGTAGCAGGATTAAACCTAAATCCTACAGCATCTTAAATCCCCTTTCTCCTCCGCTTTGCATAAATACCGGATTTAGTAAATCCCGTTGAAAGGCGGACTTACGGGATTATGCGGAACTGAAGCGCTCGATGGGTGGTGAGAGGAAGGAAGAGAAAGACTAGGGTTAGTGGGGTAGGAGCGGCGTGGAAATGGGACTTTTACGAGAGCTTCAGAGATCTTTGTACGTTGCGATCCACTCGTTGTCTTCGCATCTAGCTCCAGTTGTGACAGTATCGCGAGCGTTTCGGACGCGACAGGAGGACGAAGTGGAAGGTAGACGGGGTTTGCGGGCACCTTCGCATCTAGCTCCAGTTGTGACAGTATCGCGAGGGTTTCGGACGCGACAGGAGGACGAAGTGGAAGCTAGACGGGGTTTGCGGGCAGCATTAGAAGAACAAAGGGTCGGGATTTAATTAATATAAATTTATTTAATGATTTTTTTTTTTTTTTTTTTTTTTTTTTTTTTTTTGGAAATTTATGATATTTTTAGTTAATTCAATTAATTGATAATCATAAAACAATAAAATATAAATATGATTTTTTTTGGGAAATTTACATTCCAGCCACGCAATTTTTATGTATTTACATTATTAAATCTGAACTTTCATATTTACATACGAAACACTTTGTTTTAAATTTATGCATTGTGTATATTTCAATCTTAAAAAGTAGTATTATGACTATTTTTATTGTGATATTAATGATTTGATTGCTATGTTTGGAAATTTGAATGTTTAGGTGTCAATATACCAGCACATAAGAATTATGTGCGGTGTAACTAAGGCTCTGTTTGGCGCGACTTTTTTGTCGTGTCACGGCCTGTGCCCGCTATTTTTTTTTTTCGTTTGGCGCGTCATTGGTGATCTGGCTTTGAAGAATTCAAGTGAAAGTTGGCTGCGGGTTATACTCAGCTGCCCGCTTTCTGAAAGAAATATTATCGTTTTGTTCCCTCTGCATACCTCCTTCCACGAACGCTTTCTCGCCCTAGCCGTGCACCGAGATCCATCCCCTCTAGGGCTGTCAAAACGGCTCGTTGTTCGCGAGCAGCTCGTGTTCGGCTCGTTAAGAAGCTCGTGTTCGGTTCGTTCGCTAAGTTAATGAGCCGAACAAGAACAAATATTTGTTCGTTCGTGTTCAGCTCGTTTTGGCTCGAAATACTACTAAATATATCTTTGATGAGTAGTATTTTTTAAAAATTTAATTGACTACGAGGCTACAAAAATTTATAATCAATTAAAAATATTAATAAAGAAAATAGAATAAAGATTATTAAATTAGATTCAAATGATGTTTTAAATCTTGCCCCAATTCTTAACATCTTATGGTTATGTGATTAGGGTTGTTAAAACGGCTCATGTTCGGCTCCCTAAGTAAACGACCCCAACACGAACATAATTTTTGAGCTCGAAATATAAACGTGCCGAACACCGAGCTGAGCCTAGGCTTGCCCATGCTCGACTCGTTCACACCCCTAATCATCTCCACATAATCACCACCAACTCATCCATCTTCACTCCACTGACCTGCTCGTGTTCGGCTCGTTTACACCTCTAATCCCCTCCTCATGCGCACCAAAAAACTTCCTCCAGCACTTTGCTGCCTTCCCCCATCGTTCTTCTTCTTCGGGGATCTTGCAGGTAATAATATGTTTTTTTTTTCTTCTCCATTTTGTGGATAACAAACGATGATCCTTCCTTTACAGCTCCGAATCTTTTTTCCTCCCGCACTCCTGGCTTCCTTCGGCTTCTTCAGCGATTTCACAGGTATATGGTTTTTTTTTCTTTTTTTTCTATTAATTTCATATTCCTTAATGTTTCGGATCCTTCTTCCTACCACATTCCTGACTCAAGGTTGTTTTCCTCTTCACTTATCTATCTCATTCCTTCGGAGGATCCATTTTTTATGATAATTGATTTGATGTTGTAGATGAAACCGTACAAACCATCGATTCTCTGCCTACAGATGTTGGGTAACTTTTTGTACCAGAGGCACCCATTGGACATTCTGCCCTTGCTCCAATTGAGGTGACATACCCTCTTCTGCTTCCTGTTGACATCCAGAAGGAAAGAGATGGTCTGTAGAGCTCCCATGAGTCATTGGTCCGACGTATGGACGAGACAGTGGATTCCTTCTCCCGAGCAGCGGGCCTTTAAAAGGTGAATGTCATATTGACGATAAAGGAAGAGTTGGTCATCCTCTACGCATATATCTTTATAACAAACTGGCAGAAGTCCGGGTGGCTAACTCAATCTCTCACGTTCGAGCGAAAGAATAGATAATTGAGAAATATAAGTTAGGGGGGAATGAGTCAAGGTATAATGTTGCCTATGGTAGTCGATGTCTAACCATAACTGAATTCTTAATTCTTATAAAATTTCAAAAATATTTCATCATTATGTGTCCTCAATTTTCATGTTGATTTTATGTGTATATACATAGAGTTAAATAGAGAGTTAGTTACACTTTCATTTTTTTCACTTTTTTCTTCCCTTGCTCAGTTTTCTTAAGAGCTATACAACTTACAAATATTATCCTAAATTGTTTAGTTCAGTCAGGGCGAACAAGCGATCGACCCTATCTTCATTCAATATGAACATACTAGACAACACCTGTGTTTATGATACAAGTGTCGTGTTGCAATAAGTAAAGCCAGAAGTTTGAGCAATGTGTTATCTAAGGGACGACCCAATCTTCTTCTGAGACCAATTTTGGTGTGGGCTCTTACTGCCCTTTTATGTGGAAAATTGATCAATCCTCAACCATTATGGGGTTGCCCCAACCTAAATCAAGCTCGCGGTTGTAATAACTAACATAATTTACCTACACCCGATACAGATTTTATGGTCGAGGGAAATATTTTCACACATGATTTCTTTCGGAGTAGAGCTAGACAGATACGTGGTATTTGGTTCGACCATGAAATTCTACTTGATTGACTTAAAAAATAAGATAAAAGATTGGAAATTTTGATTTCTGAGGGGTTATTGTGAACATTTGAGGGTTTCCACTAGGTCGGTTGGTGGCCCATACAAAAAAGAGAAAAGGGAACCCCCCCCCCCCCCCAACTCAAAGCATTAGAATCGGTCATCTTGAGGAAGCAATTGTTAGTGTTCCAGTATACTGACCCAATAATAGTCAATCGGGTGTTGAATATGTACTAGTATGGTTTGATGAATCCAGAATCATGGTTTGTTTTAGACAAAGTTGATGGGAAGTGGCAGCTTGACAAGGTTGCATAGCTTTTCAGGAAAGAGCCAATAAAGAGAAAGAGAATAAATGCCACTCCGCAAGGGGTGGCCAAAGAAATGGAAGAGGGTGACTTGACAGGTTATGCCATCCCACATTCAAAACTTATACACCCAGTCTCCAAAACTTCAATCGTTATTCAAAATAAGGTTAATATGGAACTAATATTAATCAAACAGAACCCTGCTTTGATGAATCTAGGGGATTAAAGGGAGGATCGTTGAGAGAAGCTGACTCCTTCTGTCCTAGGATCAAGGGTTGGATGAAATTCAACAAAAGAGGCTCTTTGGCCCTCAACCTCAGGTCACATTCCCTATCTAAAAGGGAGGAAGCTATTCAACCCTTTCTACAATCGTTGGCCGACCCAATGGAGTTGGAGAGCTCTAAAGAAAGTTTGGGAGGGGAGCATGAATCGATCAAAGAAGCAAAGCACCAACAAAAGGCAAGGCTCTGACTTCTGATTTTGACTACTTCCTTCCCTCACCTCCAAGAAATATGAAGGGAAATAAGGATCACTGGATTCCCTTGCAGAAGAAGCAACTGAAGGTCGTTATGAATTTGCATTCTAACTTTGAGTTAATAAACATTGAGAGGGATCGGTTCCGCCTAAACTCTACATTGGTTGAGTATGCTACAACCATTGCAGACATCAATTGGTCAACAGGTCTTGAAAAGCACTTGGACTACCTCCGCATTATTGAAGTATGTCATTTAGTCGACCACTTCTAACTAATTGGGTATATTTTGACACATCATATGACTTTGCTTTACTTAGCCATAAGAGATAAGGACATGAAAGCTGAGGCTAAAGCAAGGTTATTTAGGGAGCAGGCGAAAGCGACGACCATTAGGGCAGCTGAGGCTGAGGCTTAATTGAGGGATATAAAAGTGGAATTAGAAATAGTGTCTGAGTGGGTGTCTGTTGTTCATGAGAAAAATACTGAATTACCAAGCAGATGGCCACTATGAAGGCGACCAGAGAATTTCTTGATACCCAGGTCAAGTACTACGTGGGTATCATAAGAACATTACAGTTGACTAGTTTGTTAGAGTGGGGATGGTCAACCCTGAGTATTCTAATATCAAAAAATTTAAAAAGCTTTTTTATGATCCTTCAGCATCTGAATACCAAGATGAGTCTGAGGGAGATAATGTGGCAGACGATGGATCATCCAACACACAACCCAACAACCCCATGTACATGACAATTTTTGTTTCTACGTGCAATGAATGATCAAATGAATGAAATATGCCTTTTTGGCCACTTTTACTTATAATTTTTGTTTACTTGAATCTTGATTTCGTTCTTCATACTTTGATTAATTTCTGATCTTCGTTTGGCTCGAGTTTTACTTTTGCCGCTTAAGGATTGAAGGTTAATTTCATTTGTGTGAGTAAGTCAGACAACATGGTGTCACTATCAGTTGTTCATGATTTCATTAGTTGTTAGGCCATTATGCATCAAATCAGTTTGTTTTGGATATCAACTCTTAGGTGGACCTAAATTTTTTGTTTAAACATGCTCAAAATTTTCATTTGGTCAATCTACACCTAGTAAGACGCTAATCGATCATAATTTTTCATAGTGGGTTTGTCGAAATCCTTTGCGGAGCTGTGTTGCTATTGAGCAGATAATGAATTCTAAAAATTGATTCTCAATACTTAAATAATTTTAAGTTTTGAGGCTATGAGATTGAGCATTAGAACACTTCTTTTGGTCTTCTTTTTAGGTACTATAGTTCTCCCAGTATCATCTCGTGTGAGTTTCATTGACATTTTAGTTTCCCAGGTGTTGTTTAAATTCGAAATTGTAATCGCACAATTAATTTTTTCTCAAAAATAGGAAAATGAAATAAAAGCTCATATGAAATTAAATTCATAAGTATGAGAGTCGTAAAACTACTTTTCAAGCATCGATGCAATGTAGTTCTTTTAAAGGAAAAAAATTCTTAGATCATCTCAGCTTCCCATTTTGTGAATCTTTTTTCTAGTGTATAACTTTAGCTTTTAAGCTCTAGGGGCAACTTGTTGATTGATGATG